CAAGACGTGCAAACACAATTAACAGCCAAAAAAGGAAAAAAGGTTGAACTTTCATCTCATGTCATGTTTGTTATCACTGAACACTAAATTAGGCAGGCTCTAAGGATAAACAATATCCACTAATGTCATAAAACAATTTGTCAGAACGGAGACACAAAAGTTGCTGAATTAGCACTGGCTTTTCGTAGCTTTGGCATCTCTGGAGCTGCAGCAAAGCTCTTTGAACACAAAACATTCTGTGGCATGTGCTGTGCCAAATGCTCCTGTCACTAAAAGCAGCTTTGCTTTGCATGCATTGTGCAAAGTGCCCAAAGCTGGCTGCAGAAAATCGCTGGGAAATTCTGTCTTTAAATGGCTACTTTCTGTCTGTGAAATCATAACAAGAAAGTTCCTGTGCCTTCAGTAACAACTACCATGCTCCTTCTTTCTTTCCAAAGACCACCCTCCACCAAGAGTGCAAGGAGGCTAAGGAACATGCTAGGGAGAAAGTTAACTTCTGGTTTGTCACTGAAAATGCATTTTTTAATTCACAGCATATTCTTACTTTGGCTTAAAGCTTAACAGGAGTGGGAAGACAATAGGATGCAACCACAGCTGACTTTCTGTATTTCATGCCCAGGAAAATTAAAGACTCTTATCCTATTTTGTATCTTAAACTTCCAGTGTATGCAGCAAGAAGAATCAGAGAACTTGTGTGGAAGTCTGCGATTCCTCATTCTGATTCTCTGTTCATTTGATGCAGTGTGAGCAGCACTGCCATTTCTTACAAATAAGACGTGTGATCCAGCCAAAAGAATAAATTATTTTATTTTCATTGTAGTAACACATTTTTCAATTAGATTTCTACAATCTTGCATATCTGAACACATTAGCAAAAGTCTGAGTAAGTAAGAGCTACACAAGACACAACTGCTGTAGCATTTTAGAAACTTCTTAATGTAAACATATGTTTCTGGAAAACCAGTGCTGTATTCACATTCCCCTGTGACTGTAGAACTGAACATGTTTTTTTATTTATGCATATTTACATAAAAGACATTTTCGTTCAACGGTTATGAGCCAAGTCCCAGCTGGTACATTTGGATCCCGTTCATTGCTTTTGACCCCCATCTAGTGGACATAGCCCAGTATCGCAGGATAAAATTCCTGTCGCAAATACCATGTGAAAGTCTTGCACGTACTCGTAGTGATTTGGTGGTGCAAACAACCCGGCCTCCCCCAGCCGATGAAACTGCAGTTTTATCTAACAGTTTTTTAAAAAGAATCACTCTTTCATAATCTGACAATTAAATCGTTCATAGAATGTTCCCTTAGTTTTTGACTGGAAGAAATAAGACTGCTAATAAAGTATTCATGTCATGCACAAAAGGTGGGTGAAGAAAATAAAACAAATCTGCAAACAAAACCATATGTTCCTTCAATCCAATAAAATACCTTTTAACCAGTTGAATAATTAAGTCCACTGTTAAAGAAATCAATTTAATAGTCACCCCTCACATTTACCTTCATTTATGTCTATCCCACTTTAACTTTTGCTTTAGAGCCTTCAGACAAACTTACAGATATTTGTAATGATACTTCCATTGCAGAAGGTAGTCTTATTGAGCACATGGGTAAACAATCATCTTCTATTTTACCTAAAATTGCATGAAAGATCTGCCCTCTTGCCCTCAATAGAAAAATAAATCATGTAGACTGTGTGTTGTTTAGGAATCTTGCAGCTGTTTAAAGAAAAAAAAAATATTTAGGCAATGAAAGAGAAGTGTTAGGAAAATTAGATATGATGTGTTACCAGTGCCAACTCACTGGCACTGCAAGTATTTTGTCTTCCTTGGGGATTCAAACTCAAAAGATAATGATTGCTAGTGAATAATAGTAGTCATATTAGTAGTAATGGCAATACGGTTATTAACTTATGGCACTATAAACAACAAAGGATATTTTACTTTTGTGTTTGTGCTATCTTGCCTTTGCCAGTATGTTTTTCAGTATTTTTTTGTGAGCAGATCCCACAGTAATCACCAAGATGCAATGATACCAAGCTGTGTGGTGCAGGCGACACGCTGGAGGGAAGGGATGCCATCCAGAGGGACCTGGACAGGCTGGAGAGGTGGGCCACTGCCAACCTCATGGAGTTCAACAAGGCCAAGTGCAAGGTCCTGCACCTGGGTTGGGGCAATCCCAAGCACAAGTACAGGCTGGGTGGAGAGTGGATAGAGAGCAGCTCTGAGGAGAAGGGCTTGGGGGTACTGGGGGACAAAAAGCTGGACATGAGCCGTCAGTGTGCACTGGCAGCCCAGAAAGCCAACGGTATCCTGGGCTGTATCCAGAGAAGTGTGGCCAGCAGGTCGAGGGAGGGGATTCTCCCCCTCTACTATGCTTTCGAGAGACCCCACTTGGAGTGCTGCGTCCAGCTGTGGAGCCCTCAACATCAGAAGGATACAGACCGGTTGGAGTGAGTCCAGAGGAGGCCACGAAGATGGCTCAGAGGGCTGGAGCACCTCTGCTATGACGAAAGGCTG